ATTTCAGGCGGTTTTGAATGATGGTTGTTCTGTAGTTTAGTTGTAACTTTGATGTGGTTGTGGGAGGACGAGATACCGCGTTTACCTACGCCACCATCTTGACCGGAAGTCTAAGCTTTTCTTTTTTTAATCCTCACTTGAGGACACTTTTTGCATTAATCTTCAGATAGAGTAGGAGGGAGAGAGGGAGGAAGAGAGAGAAACATCGATGCAAGAGAGACACATCAAGTGGCTGCCACCCACACAACCCCAACCGGAGCTGGGGACAAACTGCAACCGAGGTACGTGCCCTTAGCGAAAACCGAACCTGGGACTCTCTGGTCTGTGGGCTGATGCTCTAACTGCTGAGCCAAACCGGCCATGGCTTAAGCTGAATCAATCATTTTATTTATTTATTTATTTATTTTCTTTATTGATTTTAGAGAGAGAGAGAAACATTGATAAGAGAGAATATTGATTGGCCGCCCCCTGCATGCCCCCCCAATGGGGATTTGGCCCACAACCTGGGCATGTGCCCTGACTGGGAATCGAACCGGTGATCTCTTGGTGCATGAGTTGACACTCAACCACTGAGGCACACCAGCCGGGCTTGAATCAATTATTAACTGAATCTAAATATTACAGAAATTTGATATCTACCATCACTTCTTAAAATAGGAAATTTTACACTATTTTATTCCCAACTCATTTCCATTTTACTTCCCCATTTAATTTTTATCTCATTGTATTTATAAAGTGTGATGATTGAAAGTCTTTTACTGATATCCTGTTGTACAGATGTTTCTCAGAATGTATGACGAAATGTATTTATAGAAAGAAGAAAAATAATTTTGGAAATTACAAAATGCATTTCTCATGACTACAAACCTCCAAATGTTAAAGACTGGTGTATGAATTATCATTACTATTCAAATGATAAAAATGACAAAAATATATGAATTTTAACAAGTTATTAAAAGCTCAAGATTGTTTTATTAGAAATGTATCCATTAATGAGATGAATGGTGCTGTATTTTTCTACATTCAACAGTAAATATTGCTGATTGCTAGAATGAGATATTAATTTTATTACTATTTCAAAAATATTTTTATTGATTTTTTTCGAGAAAGAGGGAGGAGAGATAGGAACATCGATATGAGAAACATCAATTGGCCACCTACTGCATGCCCCCTACTGGGGATTGCGCCCTCCAACCTGGGCATTTGCCCTAAACGGGAATTGAACCTGCGACCTCTTGATGCACAGGTTGATGCCCAGGTTGATGCCCAACCACTGGGCCACACCAACGGGGCTAATTTTCTACATTTAAATATACTATGTCCTTAGGCTATATTTTATGGATTTACACCTATACCTATATGTAAGTATATGTTCTGCTTTTTTTTTTTTTTTTGGTACGTGCCCCTAGCGAAGACCGAACCTGGGACTCTCTGGTCCGCAGGCCAATGCTCCAACCGCTGAGCCAAACTGGCCAGGGCATATGTTCTGCTTTTAAGAGTTTTTTTTTTAAACCTATCTCATCAGATTAATTTGCACATTTTAAGATCTCTGAAATTGGGATGAATCTTATAATCGATGGGATATCATAATTTAGTTGGCAATGTTTTCATTTTGACTAAGTGGTATATAATGGTGAATCATAAGAAACCCGGTCATTAGTAAGCTCCGGGCTTATGCAAAGTATCCTGATGGCTATTTTGTTTTATGACTACAACTGATGACTACTGTTTTATTTACAGCAAAATCCACAATATATTTGTTAATTTAAACCTAAATACATAGTAGGAATGAAAAAAGTAAAGAAACGGCTCAGAGACAATAAGCAGGAAACTTGGGTCAGGTAAAAAATTAATATGAATTTACAGAACCTAATAACCTGGCAAAGGTTAATGAAAATGTTTCACGTAAGAATCTGAAAAATGCTGTAGAAAATATAAAACCAGGAACTTACCGCTGAAATATTATCTTTCAATTTGAAGGTGTAATGTTAGTATGTCAGAAGTAAACATGAAACTTCTAACATCCTTGAAATCATGCAAATTATGCTACTCAGACAGGTTTTAGACATATTCATTAGACTCTTTACCATTACTGATAATGGTGAAGACAGTTTGCTTGACATCAGATTCACTAAAACTATCATCTCTTACACTAATCTTGAATATTCTAAGATAGATGAGGTCAGCAACCTTCTGATTTGTTACCTAAAAATAAGGTGCCTTTCCCTCATACTTTCTTTGCTTTACTTTCATACTATTCACCCACAGGAAAAATGGTTTTTTGAATAGTCAGGTGACAAAAAAAGACAAGTTCATTAAACAAAAACTGTCATCACTCTATTTCCCTACTTGACAACACATCAAAATTCTAAACATCTCCACATTGGCCGGTATAACCCATTTCTAAGACTACATCTTACCAACAATGAAAATACATTAACTTCTACCATACCTCCTTGGTAGAAAGGAAGGAAAGGTCTGCTCAGGTTCAAAGAAAAGGGACATAACTCCACATCTTGATGGGGTAGTGGCAAGGTTCTGGAAGAGTATGTGAGACCTGAAATATTGTTTGGGTAATTTTGGAAAAATAACTGCCTACTTTTTGTAAAGTAGGGTAGGGTGATTACATAACGGCAGAAGAGAAAATGGAGAACTGATCCACTGATCAGGCATAATCCACTGATCATGGAGATGGTCTTTAAAGGCAGATGAATTGCCCTGGCCGGTTTGGCTCAGCGGTTGGACCAGAGAGTCCTGTGGACCAGAGAGTCCCAGGTTCGGTTCCCGCTAAGGGCATGTACAAAAAAAAATAAAATAAATAAAAATAAAGGCAGAGGAATTTTAACAAAGAGTACATATGGAAATTGAGGATCTGGCTCTGGATCTCCTTAAAGCTATCTGTGCCTGCATATCCCATGAAAAGTTGAACACTGTTGTTTGAACACATAAGTATAGATTATTCTTACATTTGTTAATTATATAAACATTTAAGATGCATACTTAATTATAAATTATTCTAACAAAATTATTTAGCATTTTTATGGATGTAAAAATGTGTATTCTAAAACATTAAAAAAACATAATTCTTTTTCATTTAAAAGAATAATCCATTTCTTTTACTCAGCTAAACAAAAATAGGCTAATAGAAACAAACCAAAAAATCAGTGTCAAAAGAATTCTGATAACTGAAAACATGACCAACTAGACCAATACAGCAATGAACCTTTCCAGAAAACAAAAAATGTTTCTCTTATAAAAATTAGAAAGTCAGACCTCTGAAAATAGATGTTGGTAAGTTGACAGGAAAAAAGTTTTAGATTTAGTTGTTTAACTTTACACCTATAAAGTAGTAAAATAAGTGCACATAAGCTATTAGAATAGTTAAAATTTGAAAGTCTTCCAAATATATAAATACTTTAGCACAAAATCCTTCCTGACTTCCTTTTTATTTTTGCCAATAACCCAGGGATCTCTAAGAGATGCTTTAATAATTATTTCCAAAAGCCATTTCCTAAAAATAATATTTCTTAACTATGAAGTTCAATAAAAGTTTTAAAAAGAAATATAATTGTTCTAATTTTCATCATAGATCATGACCTTGAATCATCTGAAAAGACAAGATGTTAGGGAATAGAAAATTTCCTTTAACATACTGGAGGAAAAGTAATTACTGTTTTTTTATATACAGGATATAAGGACAGAATAATATAGTAGACATAATCAGAATGTCTGCATTCATTCACCAAATATTTATTAAGTACCTACTATTTGCCAGGCATCATTCTAAGAGCTGAAGATGTAGGGGTAAATGAGAAATAGCTACAATTTTTTGAGTGCTTATTATGTGCCAGGCTCTGGCCTGAGAGTTTCCCACATGTAAACCCATTTAATCCTCAAATACAACACCTCTATGACATGGGTACTATTAGTTTCTTCATTTTATATATGAGAAAACTGAGGCATAGAGAAGTTGAATAACTCATCCAGCTAGTAATTGACAGTAGTAGTCCTAGGTATCAGAGATTTTATTAATTTAAAATCCTTCCCTTCTCATTTTCTTCTTTGCCTCTGTGAATACCTAAAAAATGAATTGGGTATGGCTCAAGTAGGTGGTGTGACCATTTCATTTTTGGACATTTATTTCTGGGAATGTGTAAATAAAATTTTAACTAGCTCTACTTCCATGTATCGTGACCTCAAAATATTTAAAAAGCCTGGATGTTATAAGACTTGATTTTGTTTAAATAGTTGGAAAAATAAATCCCTTCATATTTTTCTCTCCATTACTGTAGGTAGATACATAACATTTCTTCCTGTGGAAAATCATGTCTTTACTCCAGGTAGGCACAGTGGGACTAAAGATCACAGCTCCTTCTGATTGTAGGGGTGGGTCCATTGTTCAAACTAATTAGGCCTCACTACCTTGGACAGTTATCAGATCAGGACTACACAAACATAATCTAAGTACATGGCCAATTTGTCTTCCCTGGGACTGGCAAAGGTGGGAAATGTCCTCTTCACAGTGATGGTGAATAGAGACTGCTAGTAGCTATCTTTCTTGGCCTCAAGAGAAAATGACTCCACAATACTGAGTAATGTAGAGAAATTCAGACACAAAATAATTTGACCTAGCTATGCAAGAAATATGTATGTCCTTGCCCTTTCCAGTTAAATGAGGATAAAGGGTATAAAAACTATTTTTTGCTTAAGCTTACGTGAGTTTCTGTGACTTCCAATCAAGTTTCAATGCTATTTTACAAAAGCATTACATAAAATATGCACATAGAACAATGGTTATAATAGGAACAGAACCCTCCTTTATTCTCTTCCTTTACCCCTCTTTCCCTATGAACAAATACAGAACTGACTACAGCTCAAAGGATGGTTCATTTATTTTATTTTCAAAAGCAGTAGGCAAAATATTTATGAAGTCTGATTATAAAGCATTATTTTAATAATTGTATTCCTTAAGCATATGATAAAACCACAATATAGCTAGAAAGACAAAATGTTCTATTTTAAAACATTGGAAAAACATTAAAAGACAAATGTCTATTATATAACCAAGAATGTTAAATATTTGGAAACTATAAATCTTCTAAAATGTGACAGGCACTTCCAGAGAGCTAAATATTGCAAATTATCCTACCATAGTTCGTCTCTAATACCAACAATATTTGATATGATGAAAAATACCAAGAAGAACCAGCTAATTATTCAATTAAAGTCACCATGTCAGGGTTCAACTTAAATACACAAGTGAAAGTTTTGTCCAAGATGTTCCTGACACATGAAGCTTCCAGGTGAATTTCAGAAATTTTAACAAAAGTATCTTCCTTTTTTGCCTGTGAATGTTTGAGTACTGCTGTATTGTTGGCTTATATCCACTACAGATACTGGTTCTAGGCCAGCCCAAGGGTCTTCAAGCATTGAAGGTTTGAAATAACTTTCCAACTCATTAGACATTCTTTTTTCTCTACCACGCCCTGATCCAAAAGGTGTAGATGTCCTTGGAGAACCCTTTAGAAAAAAAATCATCAGTTAAAAAAAACATTTACTAGAGATAACTAGTACTTTTTCTTTATAACCTATTGGGGTCACATTGCTAATTAAAAGTTTTGCCTGGAAGCCAACTATGTTCAATTGCAAACTCATACTTTCTTTAATCTAGTGTTTGTTTGTTTTTAACGTATTTAAACCAATTTGGTATGCTCTTTTATTATTAATTCCATACCCACTGTCACCTCAAATACTTTGGGTTTTCTAACTTTGCAGAACTATCAATTGGTGATGAAATAACAAATAACTGTATTTCAAAATTTCCATATTTTTTCTGAAAAAAGAAATTAAAACTTTTTAACCCTACAGCTTAAAAATTTCTAGAACCTTTCCCATCTCATTAGCTCCAGACTCAAAGAGGTCGGGTTGATTTAGCATAAGGAAAGTTGGAAATGCACAGAGAACATTCAAGTTGTAAATCACAAAAATCCCACACACACCAGAAATACTTTCCTCTCATCTTCTGTATTCGCTATCACCGATTTTCCCTTGAGAAAACCTGGAGAAGCCAGTATAGTTCACAGACAAAGGCAGGGAAGGAAAAAAAAAAAGTGCAGCAGCCTGTAACCCTCTAACCTAGATGAGCTCTAGGGTGGGAATTCATTCATGTTTTGTTTTGTTTTTCCCTTCGGAGACTAAATTCACTGAGACGAACTGGCAAGGCCTCTGACAGAGAATCAGAGAAATCTGTGAATGAGTGGCAGCGTAGCGGTTAAAAGCAGGTGGCCTCTAGAAAAGAAGGCTCTGCCACTTTCTTGGGTATATCAAAAGACAGTTACTTAACATCTCTGAGCCTCAGTTTATTCATCTGCAAAGCGAGACTAAAAAGCAGTAGTCCACCTCATAGAGGATTAAGGCATAATTCACATAAAGGGATTATTAGTACCATGCCTGCCATTCAGTAACAGCTCCGCAAACGCTATTTATTACCTGGGGATGGGTCTGGTGCTGCCCTGGGGAGTGGCCGAACTGCTGCTGGGACGCCGCCGGGGACCTGGAGTAGGTGCCAGGGTAGCTGCCAGGGGACGAAGACCCGAAACGGCCCCCGGGGAAGCTGCCGCCGTGTCGCGGAGAGTGGCTGCTCCCGTAGGGCCTACACCAGGGCCCATACGATGGCGTGTGGTGAGGACTCCCGTACCCGTCCCTAGGAGATGGCGGCCGGGGTCCGCCTCCGCCCGGGGTACCCCGGAAGCTGTTCCCGGTACTCCAACCTCCTACACTCGGGCCAGGGCAAGAAGGAGTCGGGGGTCGAAAATTCTGTCGATGCATAGCTGGAGAAGAACACCTCACCTATGCTTTCCGGAACTATCCCAAAACAACTCATCGCAGAGACTTGGTGGTCCCATACCAAAACAGTCCTCCGGCTGCCAGTGCAGTGCAATTCATTGGTTCCGGCTCCACAAAAGTTCCGCTAGGGGCAGGAAATAAACGGGTTCTTTAATTGGGTAAAGAATGAGCGAATTTAAGTGAAGGAAGGAGGAAGAAGAGGATAAAGGAAAGACCGAACACCTGGCTCCGGAACGAACTTTGCAGTATGACGGTCTACGGACCGGAACGACTGATTAGATACCCACCCAACAAGTGACGCGACACCGGAGAGCTCCGCCCAGCGCGGCCCCGCCGGCTGCTGCGGGGCGGGGTCTGAGGTGTTTGTGGGTGTTTCCAGCCGCTGCTGGTCGCCCGTGCACTGCTTTCGTCTCCTGCTGGGACCGAGGGTGACCGAGGCTCGAGATGCTGGCGAGGGTCGCTGCTCTGCGGAGAATCGGCCTTATCTGCGGCCCGGGCAGCAGGAGGGAGGTGTGGACCGGTTCCCGGCAGTCAGGTACCCTCCAAGACTAGGTCCGGGCGGCGAAGGGGACCTGCACTCCAGCCTCCTATCTCAGGCGGCGCCTTGAATAGAGTGGTCAAGTTTTCCTGAAGTTCTTGTTTACCCTGCAGCCCGCCCTTTGGTCTTTTCGCCTCCCGGCATCCTGGCTGAGGGCCTCGCGTCTGGCTTCGTCAGCTCTCTGGCCGCCCCAGAGTCACCCTGCTGGGTGTCCGGACCCGGGACTGGGAGCTTGTTGCTGCGGGTCTGCGCCCCTCGCGTGGTTATATTGGGCGGACGTCTTGCCTCTCTCGGTTACCCCCCCGCCCCCACTCTCTCGTCCTCCAGGTGTAAATAACATAAAAAATGTACACCCGAAATGAAGGGGGTTCAGATTGCATTTTTAAGTTTGGAGAGTCTGTGCAAACAAATGCCGGGTTTGACTCCCATTTTAGGATTAACAGGATAGGGAGGTGGCTAGGAAGCAGGGATACTGATTTTCATTTTTTTTTTTTTTTTTTATCCTCACCCGAGGACATTTTTCCATTTTTTGCACAGATAGAGTGGGAGGGAGAGAGAGAGAGAGAAACATCGCCGTGAAAGGGACACATCGAGTGGCTGCCACCCGCATGACCAACCAGGGCCGGGGACAAACTGCAACCGAGGTACATGCCCTTAGCGGAACCGAACCCGCGTCTCTCTGGACCCCAGGCTGATGCTCTAACCGCTGAGCCAAACCGGCCAGGGTGGGATACTGATTTTCAAAGAGCAAAATTTGGCCAAACCTTTTAAAATCTTGATTGTTTCAAAGACTTTTAGTTATAAAGAAAAATGTGATAATTCAAGAATGACACCTAATAAAATTCCCCTTTGTGTCAGACAGCTGTCTCAGAATTTGTTTAGAATTCGAAATTTATATTTACTACAGTTTTGTAGAACTTTTTTTACTCTTTTCAGAATTTGAGTGTATGTATAGTCACTGAATCTTGAAATCAGCTTGTAGGAAAGATAATCTTTTATTTATTTTTTAATCCTCACCAGAGGACATTTTTGCATTTATCTTCAGATAGAGTGGGAGGGAGTAAGGGAGGAAGAGAGAGAGAGAAACATGGATGTGAGAGAGACACATCAGTGGCTGCCACCCACATGAGCCCAACTGGGGCGGGGACAAACTGCAACCAAGGTACTGCTTTTGCCCGAACTGAACCGGGACTATGGTCCACCAGCCGATGCCCAATACTCGATGGCCGATGCTTTAACCGCTGAGCCAAACCGGCCAGGGCAAAACAGAATCTTAAAGTGTTGACAGCTGCAGGAATGGCACCAGGTGTTAGACTGGTGGGGTCAGACTGGACCTGGGTTCAGCAACCTGTGTACTTGAGTTCTGGCTAAAGAATTTGCAATCAAGATCAAAGGATAAGAGAACATTTACTTATAACATCACAGAGGTGGAAGAAGTAATTCATAGATGAAATGGACTTAAGTTATAGAGGCAAAGGAAGGTAAAGGTGATGCACCTGGGAGGGGTGGGGGATGTGAAGGGGGAAGAGAAAGGTGCTGTTATGCTCCCTGGAGCCCTGGAGAGAGAGCGAGCTGAGTCCTCCGTCCTAAGGGTTTTAAGGGTTGAGATTTTAGGGGAGGTCTCAGGGGAAGATTTCAGTACAATATTCAGCAGCGTTCCAGGTATGTTCTTTCAGGGTTGGAGTCTCCACTTGTTTCCAGTGAATGTGATAGATTCTTTTGCAGTGAAGTGAGAAAAATAATTCCAAACGCACAGGCATGCAGGAGTTTAAACGTGACAGTAAGATATTATTGTGAAATAAGGGGATTTAATAAACCTTCGTTGCCCTGGCTGGTTTGGCTCAGTGTTTAGAGCATCGGCCCTTGGACCACTGAGTCTCGGGTTTATTTCCGGTCAAGGGCACGTACTTTGGTTGCGGTTTGTCCCCAGCCCTGGTCAGGGTCCTGCAGGAGGCAACTAGTCAATGTGTCCCTCTCACATAGATGTTTCTGTCTCTCTTTCCCTCTCTCTCCCTCCCTCCTACTCTATATGAAGATAAATAGAAAAATATCCTCAGGTGAGAGTTAAAAATAAAGACCTCTACATATTTGTTTTATATTTAAGACAGGGAGAAAAAAATGAATTTTAAAAGTTTATTAAACAATTTATAATCATGTGTGTATTTCCTTTTTCTTTTTACCCATCAGCTTTAAAAATAAGCAAACAGCCCAAGCCAGTGTGGAGCGTCATCTCATGCACTGAAAGGTGGCAGGTTCGATTCCCAGTCAGGACACAAACCTAGGTTGCGGATTTGATCCATCGAGTCAGTATGCCCCAGTTGGGGCACATGTAGGAGGCAACCGATTGATGTTTCTCTCTCACATCAATATTTTTCTCTCTCTCCCTTCCTCTGTCTATAAAACAAAACAAAACAAACAAACAAACAACAACAACAACAATAAAAAAACATATCCTCAGGTGAGGATTAAAAAAAAAAGGTTTGTAATTGTACTAGTAATTCACAAAATACTTAACATCAACATTAAATCAAAAATGCTTACAATGTTTAGATCATGATGATTGAGATCAGGCTGAACTTATAAAGAAAAATGATAAAATTATTGGTTCAATACATATTGTTTTTGTTAACCATTGAACAAACTGGCCAGGGTTGTTATTTTTTTGTTAGTACTTTTTTCTTGTTTAGTTTACTTTTTATTTATTTTTTTAAGACTATATTTTTAGAGCAGTTTCAGGTTCATAGCAAAATCAAGAGGAAGGTACTGAGATTTCCTGTATTACCCCATCCCCACACATGCACAGCCTCCCCCAGAGGGTACTTTTGTTACAATTCACGAACCTACATTGACACATCATAATTATCCAAAGTCCATACTTTATGTTAGGGTTCACTCTGGGTGGTGTACATTCTTTGGGTTTGGAAAAATGTATAGTGACACATCTAACATTGTATCATATAGAATATTTTCAGTGCCCACTCAGCTTATATATATCTCTCTGCTCACTTTTTATTTTACATTAGACAAACTATTGCAAGTGTAGCTGGGGGCTTAATTAATTAGGAATAATCTGGGATTGGAGGCTTTAATTTTTACAGATTGGCTTAATTGGATCAGGTCAAGATTTCTGTGTTACATATAAAGCAGAAATAGTGTAAAAGAAAAATTTTTTTTGGTAGTAATAGAGATTGCTTAAAATACAGTGTAAAGAATTCTGCATTCTTCTTCATGAAAATTAGTAATCATTACTCTTCAAGTGTTTTCTGTGTTTTGCCAGATAATGACAATGTGAAGCCATTGGAGGGTGTAAAAATTCTGGATCTGACAAGGTTTGTGTTGGCTTATCTGTTTTTTGGTGGTTGAGTTTTAACCTTCTCTCAAAAGACATTCATTTATTTTTCATATTGTAAGAGGGTGCTTATATGCTTAGTATCAACATTTTGGAAAGAAAAATAAAGGAAAAATTCTTATAATTTTATCATTCTAAAAGACAATTAGTATAGCATGTGTTTCTTTTCAATCTGCTTATTTAAACATATTTTGAAAAACAAAAATGTGAACCATATTGAAATGATAGTTTTACTCATATTTTAAATGTTATATTTCGAATGTTTTCCTCTGTCATTCAAAATTCAACAAAAATATACAATATTATATAGTTGTCACAAAATTAATCATCCCCCAATATTTTACTATTATAAATTAAGTTCCCTATTACAAAAATCTTTGTCTCAATAATCTTTTAATTTCTTTCTTAGGATAGAATTCTGGAAGTAGAATTACTGTATCAAAGGGAATATACTTTTTAAAGCTCTTGATACATATGGCCAAATTACCTTTCTGAACCATTCTAATTCTCACTAGCATTATATGATCTTATCTGTATTGATGAACTATTAAGAAAATATAATAATCTTCAAGGTGGTAATCTATCATTGTTTAACATTGTAGAGTACTGGCGGGACCTTTTGCTACAATGAATTTAGGAGATCTTGGAGCAGAAGTTATAAAAGTGGAAAGACCAGGTAAAGTTATTGCTCCCTTTAAAACATAAAAAACAAACTAATACATATTTTTAATAGTATAAAATATATCCATGTACCTGTATATGGGATGAAGAAAGAATTGAAATGAAATGATTTTCTCTTCTCCATTCCTTATTTTTTTCTGAACCTAGACTAATAATCTCCCTCCCTCCCTTCCTTCCTTCCTTTTTTTTTTTTTTTTTCTCACCTGAGGATATTTTTCTCTTTATTTTCAGACAGAGTGGGAGAGAGAGAGAGAAACATCAACGTGAGAGAGACACATCGATTGGTTGCCTCCCTCAGGACCCCAACCAGGGCTAGGGATCAAACCGCAGCTGAGGTACATGCCCTTGACTGGAATCGAACCTGTGACTCTGGTCTGTGGGCCAAGGCTCCAACCACTGATCCAAACCAGCCAGGAATCTCCTTTTATTCTTTATATGTGCTAAGGACTAAGACTTAAGCTAGGTCTTTCCCACACATGTTGAAACCTCTGGTAGAAACTGAGATGCAACATGTATTATAATGATGCTGACAACATTATCATAGTGCCAGACACATTTTGAAGCACTTTGCCTATATTAATTTGTTTGATCTTTACATTAACCTTATGAGCTATTATTATTCCTAGATTGTAAGTGAGAAGACAGACACATAGAGAGATAAAGCAATTTGTCCATGGTCACACAGCTAATAAGGAATATCCAGGCATTCAGGTCTGATTCGGACTCTCCTTAGACCCACACAAGTCTTACTGTTGGGACTGAGGTTGGACTGAGCCTGGCCACACTCCCTCACTGTGGAATGAAGCAAAGGCAAGGATAAGCAAAGGGTAAAAGGGAAGAAATAGGGCACACAAGAAAGAAGGAAAAGGAATCAAAGTCCTTAAAATAGGAATCCAAATACCCCAACCTAAGTCATTTTTTTTTTCTATTTTTAATAAAAGAAACATTTTTCCATGATGGAAAACACCTAAGCTTAGATCAATTCTTTGTTTTTATGTTTCTCATCTGACATCTTTCTGGTTCTTTTGTTTCTGTGTATATAGTTCTTACTTTTATTTGGTATCTTCTTAGCATTTTGGTGTTTAGTTCATGCTATTTTTGATACTTAGAAAAGTGTCATATTGCATGCTCCAGTTCTCCAACAAGAACTCAGAGCAGAGTCTGTGTTCTCTATGTCCTCTACATTACCTTATAAACAGCCTTTTTGGGAGGGTTTCAAAAATTAGCATTATTATTTATTCTTCAGGATCTAATTCTTGTTGATTTGAAATAAAATTCCCAAATCAGTGAAAATGGTCTAGCCTTGAATTGTGCACATGTATCTATAAGACAAGGGACAAGTTTCGTAATTACATCAAATAATTAATTCACCACAGTGATTAAATTTACCACAGTGGTATAAAGTAGTCTACTTGATTTGGAAGATTCAACTTATTGCTAAATAGATCTACTTAGGAGGCCAAAGCAGTTAGCAGAAAATTCACTGATCAGCATGGGGAATATTATATATTATTATATTTATCTGACTCTGTTTATCAGGCTTCGCGTGGTAGAAGAACCTGGTAAATACTGCTTCCCAGAGATAATGCTTTATTTATGCAGTCATTGATATTTATTGCTTTTAGTCAATGCTTTATACATGCTAAAAAATGTTTACTCTCTAGTTAGATGTCTAATTTTCCAGGTTCCATACAACTTCTAATCTCCATATTGCTATCAATTTCAATAGCATAGCACTTTCTAATTTCTACCACTGAGTCTTCCATGCTAGATAGAGTGTTCAGTCTAATTTCTCTTGCTATTTCATTTACCACTGGATTAAATATTTGTATTTAATTTTAGAAATTGTTATTTTCTATTTACTTAGGCCTGTTTTTCCTTCGTACTTTTTTGATTCTGTGGTCGGAGACATCTTTCTTTGTTTAGGCCTTTATTATGTCTCGTAGTCATACACTTAGTATCAAGCTTCATTCCCATCAAGTTCCCTTAGCGGAAACTGAACCCCGGACTCTCTGGCCTGCAGCCCGATGGTCTAACCGTTGAGCCAAACTGGCCAGGGCTATAAATTATTCTTTATTTCAGTTAGTGCATCCTTCGTTTCTGACTGGTCCTGACATGTTGCTGATGTTCTCACTAAGTTCCTTGAAGTTCTCACTTAAGTTCCTTGAGCATCCTTATAACCATTGTTTTGAACTCTGCATCTGATTGATTGCTTATCTTTGTTTTTTTTAATTTTTCTCCTGGATTTTTGTTCTGTTCTTTCATTTAGGACATGTTCTTTGTCTCCTCATTTTGGCTGCTTCCCTGTGTAAGTTTCTATGTGTTACGTAGAGTTGTTATGTCTCTTAAGCTTTGTAGGGTGGCCTGTTGTTATAGGTATGCTGTTGGGTCCAGTGGCACAGCCTCTCTAGTCATCCCAGCTTGGCCCTTGAGGTCCACCCCTGGTGAGGACTGTACACCTTCTTGTTGTAACTGAGTCTTAATTGCTATTGGCAGTTCAAATGGGAGGGGTTTACTCAGGCTAATTAGCTACAAGGACTGGCTATGCCCACTGACTGCTTGCCTCTGACTACCTTGGAGGATCAGCTGTGTAGGGACCCACAACACAGAGTAAGACTTACTTCAGCAGGGTTCTGCTACCCACTGAGTCCACTCACTGAGTGTGTCACTTGTGGTGGTGGTTGGTTGGTGGTGCTTTGATGTAGTCTGAAGCTGTCCATTGGGTATGCTGGCTCTGGGGCAAGGTCAGCCACTGCCTGTGTTCTACTCGGGGACACATGGAATAAGCTGCAAAGTATGCTGCCAATGGCTGCTGCTTGTGCTGGGTTTGGAGGTGCCTAGGAAAAGCCAAGTTGTGAACCAAGCCTGGCTGCTTCTAGTGCCAGGCCTGGGGGCCACCTAATGAGAGGTATGGGGCTCTCTGAGACCAGATGCTGCTTGTTTGAGAAATTTTAGGAAAATCTGAAGCAGGATCCAAGACAGGCCAATCTTATGGTAAAGCCATTGGAAACAGCTTGGGTGGGCCCAAAAGTTGAGTGGGCCAGGGCCTCACAGAATCAGCAGGGCAGGGCAGACTGTGAGCCAGGTTGCTGGAGTCCCAGAAATGGTGGCCTTCTGCCACCCCGGGGAAGGGCTCACCAAAGGAACAACAGCCTCCTACAGCAAGTCTGTCCAGGAAAAAGCTGCCCCTCCAGCTGTTGCCCCAATACCAAACAACTCAGTTCTTCACTGTATGTCTCTGGTGCCTTTCAAGCTGCCTTTCCAACACTGGGGCCCAGAAGGAGCAAGTCCCAGTAAGTCCATTCACAAGCCCTTTATGAGGAATGCTTGGGGCTCCAGGAGCCTCAGCCTCCCTCAGCCTCAATTCCTGCTGGTTTTTGCAGCCGGAAGTTATGGGGACTTCTCTTCCTGGTACTAGAACCCTGAGCTGGGCGCCTGGTGTGGGACCAGGACCCTTTGCTCCTCAGGGAGGACCTTCAAAGCCAAGGTAGCCCTCCTGATTTTTTTTTTTTTTTTTTTTTTTATCCTCACCGAGGACATTTTTTCTATTTTTTGTTCAGATAGAGTGTGGGAGGGAGAGAGGGAGAGAGAGAAACATCGACGTGAAAGGGACACGTCGAGTGGTTGCCACCCACACGACCCAACCAGGGCCGGGGACAAACTGCACCCGAGGTACGTGCCCTTAGCGGGAACCGAACCCGGGTCTCTCAGGACCGCAGGCCGACGCTCTAACCGCTGAGCCAAACCGGCCAGGGCACCCTCCTGATTTTTATCCTCCACAAGTGGGTGTGGGACCAGCCTGTCCACGCTTCTGCCTCTCCTACCAGACTTGATGTGGCTTCTTTAATTTCATAGTGTAGCACTTCCATTCAGCTCAATTTTAGGTGGTTTTGAATGATAATTGTTCTGTAGTTTAGTTGTAATTTTTATGTCTATAAATTTTATTATTTTTTAAACTTATCTTTATTGTTGAATGTATTACAGATGTTCCTCATTTTTCCCCTATTGACCTCCTCCTCCCTGCTCCTGTCCCTCTTTTGCCTTCCCCACACTATTGTTTATGACCATTGGTTTTATATATATATGAATATAAGTTCCTTGGTTTATCTCTTCCCACCCCCCTTCTCTTTGAGGTTTTTCAGTCTAACAACCAATTTGTGCTTCTTAATTCGTTCACCTTTTTCACCCAATTCCCCAGCCCCCCTCCTATCTGGCAATCGACAAAAAGGTCTTTGTATCTATGAGTTTATTTCTGTTCTGCCTGTTCATTTTGTTTGTATTTTCAATTGTTGATAGACATGTATTTATTGCCATTTTAATTTTCATATTTTTTAACTTCTTTTTCTTCAAGAAGACCCTTCAACATTTCATATAATACTGGTTTGGTGGTGATAAACTCCTTTAGCTTCTTCTTGTCTGGGAAACTCTTTATATGTCTCTGCATTGTAAATGATAGCTTTGCAGGATAGAGTAATCTTGGTTGTAGGTTCTTGCTTTTCATCACTTTGAGTATTTCTTGCCACTCCTTTCTGGCCTGCAAAGTTTCTTTTGAGAAAGGTGACAGTCTTATGGGAGCTCCAATGTAGGTAATGAACTGCTTTTCTCTTGCTGCTTTTAAGATTCTCTCTTTGTCTTTAACCTTTGGCATTTTGGTTATGATGTGTCTTGCTGTGGGCCTTTTCGGGTTCATCTTGTTTGGGACTTTCTGTGCTTCCTGGACTTGTTGTCTGTTTCCTTCACCACGTTAGTGAAATTTTTAGTCATTATATTTTCAAATCAGTTTTCAATTTCTTGCTCTCTCACTTCTCCTTCTGGTAACCCCATGATGCAAATGTTGGTACATTTAAATTTGTCCCAGAGGCTTCTTACACCATCCTCACTTTTTTGGATTTTTTTTTCTTTTTGCTGTTCTGATTGAGTGTTTTATGATTCCTTATGTTCCAAATCAATCATTTCCTTCTTGGCTTTACCTACTCTACTATTGACTCCCTTTAAACTATTCTTTTGCCTCTTTCATTTCTGAATGTGCATTCTTCATTTCTTTTTTTTTTTTTATTAGTTAATTTTTGTTACAGATGTTTCTCCTTTTCCCCCCACTGATTCCTCCCTCTCTTTCCCTCCCTGCCCTTTCCCCAGTTTGTTGTCCATGTCCACTGTTCATGCATGCATGCATATAAGTTCTGTGGTTTATCTCTCCCCCACCACACCCCTCTTTAGGGGATTGTCAGTCTGTACCCCACCTCCGCGTCCCTGGGACTACCCCATTCCTCAGACTGTTATGTTCATTATATTCCACAAATAAGTGAGATCATATGAAACTTGGCTTTCTCTGTTTGGCTTATTTCACGTAGGATGATACTTTCCAGGTTCCTCCATGTAGTCTCAAAGGATAAGAGATCTTTCTTTCTTACAGCTGCGTAGTACTCCATTGTGTATATGTACCACTGCTTTTTTATCCATTCGTCTACTGATGGATACTTGGGCTGTTTCTAAATCTTAGCGATTGTAAATAGTGCTGCTACAAACATGGGGGTACATATATTCTTTCTGATTGGTGTTTTAGGCTTCTTACGGTATATTCCTAGAAGTGGGATCATTGGGTCAAATGGAAGTTCAATTTTTAATTTTTTGAGGTAACACCATATTGTTTTCCATAGTGGCTGCAGCAGTCTGCATTCCCACCAGCAGTGTACTAGAGTCCCCTTTTCTCCACACCCTCGCCGACACTTGTTGTTTGACATTCTTCATTTCTGACTGGTCCTTTTTTATGTTCTTGAGGCCCTCACTAAGTTCATTGAGCATCCTTATAAGCAGTGTTTGGAACTCTCATCTGTCAGATTGCTTATCTCCATTTTGTTTAGTTCTTTTCCTGGAGTTTTATTTTTTTCTTTCATTTGGGACATGTCTCTTTGTCTCCTCATTTTGGCTGCCTTCCTGTGTTCGTTTCTATATATTAGGTAGAGTTGCTATGTCTCTTAGGCTTACTTGGATGGCCTATTTTAGTAGGTGTTCTACAGGGTCCAGTGGCACAGCCTCCCAGATCACCCCAGCTGGGTCCTTGAGGTGCACCCCTCTTGCACTCTTCTGTTGTAATTGAGTCTTGATTGCTGTTGGCATGTCAATGGGAGGGATTTACTTAAGCTGATCAGCTTCAAGAACTGATAATACTGATCACTAACCTCTGACTACCTTGGAGGACTAGCTATGCAGAGGCCCACCACACGGAACAAGACTTACTTCAGCAGGGCTCTGGTACCCACTGAGTCCATTTCTTGAGTGTGTCGCTCATGGAGGTGGTTGGGTGGTGGTGTTTTGCCATGGTCCGAAGGTGTCCACTGGGTGTGCTGGCTCTGGGGCAAAGTGAGCCACTGCCTGTGTTCTGTCCTAGGCCCCCAGGCATAAGCTTCAAAGTGATCTGCAAATGGCTGCTTCTTGTGCTGGCCTTGGAGGTACCCAGGCAAAGCCAAATTATGAACCAAGGCTGGCTGCTTCTGGTGTCAGGCCTGGGGCCAGTTAGTGAGAGGTATGGGGCTCGCTGAGGTCAGATGCTGCTTTTTTGAGAGAATTTAGGAAAACCTGAAATAGGAGTCAAGACTGGCCATTCTTATGGTAAAGCCACTGGAAATAGCTTGGGTGGGACTGAAAGTTGGGTGGGGCAGAGCCTCAGGGAATCACAAGGGCAGTGCAAACATTATGAGCCAGGCAATTGGAGTCCCAGATATGGCCACCCTCTGCAGGCCTTTTGGGGCAAGGGCTTACCAAAGGAACAAAGGCCTCTCCCAGCACATTTGTCCAGGTGAAAGCTGCCTCTTTAACCTCTGCCCTGATGCCAAACAATTCCGTTCTTTTCCGTGTCTCTAATGCTGGAGTGAGTCTGAGTAAGTCCATGCACTGGTCCTTTAAGAGAAACTGCTTGAGGCTCTAGCATCCTCAGCCTCAATTCCCACTCGTTTTTACAGTCAAGTTATGGGGACTTCTCTTCCTGGCACTGAACCCTTAGCTGGGGGTCCTGGTGTGTGAAGGGGACCTGTTGCTTTTCATGGAGGGCCTTCACAGCGGTTGGTCGCCCTCCTGATTTTTATCTGCCACACATGGGTGTGGGACCAGCCTTCTGCTCCTCAGCCCCTGCTATCAGTCTCCATGTGGCTTCTTTAATTTCACAGTTGTAGAGCTTCCATTCAGCTTGATTTCAGGTGATTTTGAATGATGGTTGTTCTATTGTTTAGTTGTAATTTTGATATGGTTGTGGAAAGAAGTAAGTAGTGCATTTAAAGACTCTGCCATGTTGACTGAAAGTCTCTTGTTTCTCTTGTGGTTTTTTTTTTTAAAGATTAAATAAATGAGTCTGTTATTTACCTCCGTTTTGTATTCCAAAGGCTGCGTTTATTTTTCTGGTCAATTTCAGTAAAGTCTAATGGGCTATTATATTAGATTAATTATATCATTGAAATAAGATTGGAATTTAAGCTTTAACGTATTCACAAATTTTTGGGTGGAAGCTTGTGATAAATACTTTAATTATACAGTTGATTAGTTACTTATATCAATATTTAATCAGAACTTGTATTATAAAATTTTTAATTATACTATTTTGTGACATTTAATTGTTGATTCTGAGTTTCTGAGTTCTATGTTGTTTGCCAGTTTCTTACTGTGCAAAGAAAACTTTTTGCTGTAATTTTATAGTGTTGTGTTTGAAATAAACACAGACATTTCTAGAATCACTTGAAGGAGATGTCCAGAGTAAAATACCCTCTCATGATTTTTTAAAACCTTTTACCTTGAATCAAGATCTAGACAAGTATAATTTTATTCTAAAGTAGTATTTTTAAATTAGCTGAATTTGTTGTTCAGTAACTTATTTTGCCTCTTATGATTTGTTGCTATAGAATTTTTATAGTCTATCATAGGCTCAGATGCCATTTTATCATGCTTTTTTATCACTTATTCTGATTTAAGTAATAGTTAACTAACATCTTTTGCAGAATCAACATTTTCTTTGCATATGTAATGCCAGGAAACACAGACTGAATTGTTTGCCAGCAACCGACAATTTTTCCCCCTTCAAATTTGCCATTTATTATATCTAAAGACTGCCAATAGAATATTTCCTTCTGGATTTTGATTTTCAGGAATGGATTTTAGTGAAAGTTATGGAAAGCTTTAGTAATTAACATGAACAGGTAAAGAGTTTGGATAGTTCTAACTGGCTCTTCTGGCTTTCTCTACATTGCTAATGCCACTGAATTGAGCTGATCTTATTCAGGTACCTGTGAATGTGTATGATGGGTGAGACTGTTGGTTTGAAATGTCTCATGATGTTTCAGAGATAAAGATTAATAGCTCATAATATTATTTTCAGGAGCTGGTGATGATACACGAACTTGGGGACCACCTTTTGTGGGGAAAGAAAGTACTTATTTTCTCAGTGTAAATCGAAATAAAAAAGTAAGAATATAATTTTTTTTGGGGGGAGTCTTTGTGTAATTCTCTTGTAAAAACAAAACTTCTGATATCATCCTGGTTTGTTTGTTTCTATTCTTTTTTGTAGATGTTGTTAATATTTCAAAAAGTGAAATTCTGTTTATTCAGCAATTACCAAATAGAAACAGTACAGCTTTTTACTAATCTTTCTTCTCTACTAACTTAAAACATTTCACAAAAATCTGTAATGGTTTATAATAGAAATAATTTTATTAAATTTATTAAATGGTTCTTTATATTTGTCATTATTTTGGAAATTGGTAATTGCCTAAAACTTGGTATTATTATTTGAAACACTTTTACCATAATCTTTGCTATATTCTAACATATCTAAATTGCAAATGAAATCAGTAATGATTTAAATGTTTCTTCAGGAGGAAAATAGGTTTGCTTTAAGAGGAGAAGCTATGATATGAATGGCTCCCTTGTTGAATTGTCAGTATTAACAAAACACTTTATGATACATTTTAATATGTGTATTTTAATTTTTAGAGTATAGCTGTTAATATCAAGGATCCAAAAGGAGTGAAAATCATCAAAGAGGTACAGTATGCTCAATGAAAGGCATCTTACCACTTGGGTTCTAATTAGGGATTTGAACAACAGAGTTAAAGTGTTTTAAAACTTTATTTCATTGATAATCTGTAATTTTTTTGTAAATGCCATTTAAGAATTTAACATTACTTTTATAGTAAGTATAATTTGCCTTATAATTTCTTGTATATTGTGTATAATGTTTCTTCACACTCTAAGGGTTAGTTAGTTGTAGTACTAATTGCTATTGACTGAGTGGGCACTTGATTTACATTATCTCTTCAAATCCTCAGAATAAATGAGGTATTAGAATCTTGATTTTTCACAGGAATGAAATGAGTCTTATGGGTCTTAAGTGATGCTCTAAATATCACATAGCTAGTAAAGGGAAGAGCTGAAGTTTGAACCTTGGGTCACATTACTAGAGAGTTCAAGCTTTCTTTTTTTTTTATCCTCACCCGAGGACATTTTTCCATTTGTTGTTCAGATAGAGTGGGAGGGGGAGAGAGAGAGAGAGAGAGAAACATCGACGTGAAAGGGACACATCGAGTGGCTGCCATCCACACAACCCAACCAGGGCTGGGGACAAACTGCAACCGAGGTACATGCCCTTAGCGGGAACCAAACCTGGGTCTCTCTGGACCGCAGGCCAACGCTCTAACCGCTGAGCCAAACCGGCCAGGGCGAGAGTTCAAGCTTTTTAAAAAACACTATTTGTATGGCCAATATGTCCAGACATGATCTTGGTATCTTTCCTTGATTGGCAGGATTGCAGAATGGTTTTGGGACATATCCTAGCGTTCTACTGCTGGGATTCAGATCCCTTGTCTATTTACTAGCTATGTGACTTTAGGCAAATTACTTAAAGAATGCCTCAGGTTCCTTATCAATATAGGGGATAATAATAGTACCTGTTTCTTACGGTTGTTGTTAGAATTATTATTGTACCTGGTACACATGCAATTGAATTCATCATGTGAAAATAGAACTTGTTTGCCATCTTTGTTAAAGTTTAAAATTTAATGGAAGTAAAACTACTTGATTAGAGAACCAAATCCCCAAATTTGTTTTTTACCAAAGAATCAACTTTAACATCAATGCTCTGTTGCTACTTTCCTTGTCTATTTGGCTGATTGAAAGATAATTTTTTAATTTATTTAGATGAGAACCAGTGACCATCTACTTTGGTTCTGCTGGATCAGTCCAATAAATTTACAGTTTTTGTTTACTAGATATATTTTGAACTCAAAGCTTGATAATTGCCCTGATCTTATTACCCTGTTTTTTATACATCTTTTCTATAGCATAATTTTTTTTTCCCCCTCAGGTGAAACTATGATTTTTCTAAATTGTTTATTATCATCGTAGCCATGCTCTGTTTTTCTGCAATGGTTACTCTCACCTTGACCCAAATCCCAGTGTCTTCATTTTGAGGCCCTTCTTTTTATTTTCTAAGTATTTATTATTATTTTTTTATGTTAGAGATTGTTCTTTTTTTAATTCTTCTCTTTCTGTTTTGTCTTTCTTTTTTAAAAAAATGTTTTTTTTGCCCTGGCCGGTTTGGCTCAGCGGTTAGAGCATCAGCCTGCGGTCCTGAGAGACCCGGGTTCGGTTTCCGCTAAGGGCGCGTACCTCGGTTGCAGTTTGTCCCCGGCCCTGGTCAGTTGTGCGGGTGGCAGCCACTCGATGTGTCCCTTTCACATCGATGTTTCTCTCTCTCTCTGTTCCTCTCTCCCCCCACCCCACTCTACCTGAACAAAAAATGGAAAAATGTCCTTGGGTGAGGATAAAAAAAAAAAAAAAATTTTTATCTTCATCTGAGGACATTTTTACATTTATCTTCAGATAGAGCGAGAGGGAGAGATGGGGGAAGAGAGAGAGAGAAACATCAGTGTGAGAGAGGCACATCGACTGGTCGCCACCCACACAACCCCAACGGGGGCTGGGGACAAACTGCAACCGAGGTACATGCCCTTAGCGGGAACCGAACCCGGGACTCTCTGGTCTGCGGGCTGACGCTCTAACCGCTGAGCCAAACTGGCCAGGGTTTTCTGTTTTATCTTTCTTAGTTTTAACTTTAGTGTTCACAATTCCTACTTCTTTGCTTTTATTTCAGGATATTCTGATATTTTATCCAGAATCATCAAGGTTTCGGATTTGATTAAACAAATACTTTGCTATTTCTCTCTTTCTTTTTTATCTTTATTGTTGAATGTATTACAGATGTTCCTCATTTTTCCCCTGTTGACCCCCTCCTCCCCAATCCCGACCCCCTCCTGCCTTTCCCCACACTGTTGTCTGTGCCCATTGGTTATGCATATTTACATGTAAGTTCTTCAGTTTATCTCTTCCCACCCCCCGTCCCTTGAGGTTTGTCAGTATAACCACCAATTTGTACTTCTTAATCCCTTCACCTTTTTCACCCATTCCCCCAACCCTACTCCCATCTGGCAACCAACAAAATGTTCCCCGTATCTATGAGAAAGAATGCTTCTGTTCTGCTTGTTTATTTTGTTTGTAGATTCATTTGTCAATAGATATGTATATATTGCCATTTTGTTTGTTCATATTTTTTATCTTTTTCTTCAAGAAGACCCTTCAACATTTCATATAATAACATTTTGGTGGTGATGAACTCCTTTAGCTTTTTCTTGTCTGGGAAACTTTCTGTGGCCATCTATTCTAAATGACAGCTTTGCAAGATAGAGTAATCTTGGTTGTATGTTCTTGCTTTTCATCACTCTGAATATTTCTTGCCACTCCCTTCTGGCCTGCAAAGTTTCTTTTGAGAAATCAGCTGACAGTCTTATGGGAACTTCCTTGTAGGTAACTAACTGCTTTTCTCTTGCTACTTTTAAGATTGTCTCTTTTTCTTGAACCTTTTGCATTTTGATGATGATGTGTCTTGGTGTGGGCCTCTTGGGGTTCATCTTGTTTGCGACTGTCTGTGCTTCTTGGACTTGTATGTCTGTTTCCTTCACCAAGTTAGGGAATTTTTTTGCCATTATTGTTCCAAATAGGTTTTTGATTTCTTGTTCTCTCTCTTTTCCTTCTGGCACCCCCAAGATGCGAAAGTTGGTACACTTGAAGTTGTCCCAGAGGCTCCTTACACTATCCTCATGTTTTTGGATTCTTTTTTCTTTTTGCTATTCTGACTGGGTGTTTTATGCTTCCTTATGTTCCAAATCGATTGTTTGCTTCTTGGCTTTACCTACTCTACTATCGAGTCTCAGTAAATTATTCTTTATTTCAGTGACTCCTTCATTTCTGACTGCACCTTTTTTATGCTTTTGAGTCCCTCACTAAGTTCTTGTGGTTCTCACTAAGTTCATTGAGCATCCTTATAAGCAGTGTTTTGAACTCAGCATCTTTTAGGTTGCTTATCTCCATTTCACTTAGTTCTTTTGCTGGAGTTTTGTTCTGTTCTTTTACTTAGGACCTGTTTCTTTGTCTCCTCATTTTGTCTGCCTTCCTGTGTTTGTTTCTATGTGTTACTTAATGAGAGGTATGGGTCTATCTGAGACCAGATACTGCTTGTTTGAAAGAATTTAGGAAAACCTGAAGCAGGATCCAAGACAGGCCAATCCTGTGGTAAAGCAACTGGCAACAGCTTGGGTGGGCCTGAAAGTTGGGTGGGGCAGGGTCTCAGGGAATCACCAGGGTTCGGCAAACTGTGAGCCAAGTTGCTGGAGTCCCAGATATGGTGGCTGTCTGCTGCCCCAGGGAAGGGCTCACCAAAGGAACAAAGGCCTCCGATAGCCGCCTCTCCAGCCCTAGCGCCAATGCCAAATAACTCAGTTTTTCCCCATATGTCTCTCGTGCCTTTCAAGCTGCGTCCCCTATGCTGGGGCCTGGAGATTGCGAATCTGAGTAAATCCACATGCGGGCCCTTTAAGAGGAGCTGCCTGGGGCTCCAGCCGCCTCAGCCTCCCTGAGCCTCAGTTCCCGCTGGTTTTTCCAACCAGAAGTTATGGGGACTTCTCTTCCTGGCATTGGAACCCTGAGCTGGGCCTCTGGTGTGAGACCCCTTGGTTCTCAGGGTGGACCTTCCCAGTTGAGGTATCCTTCTAATTTTTTTCTGCCACATGTGGGTGGGACCAGCCTGCCTGTCTCTGCCCATCCTACCAGTCTCTGTCTGGCTGCTTCTTTAATTTCTTAGTTGTAGGGCTTCCATTCAGCTCGATTTCAGGTGGTTTTGAATGATGATTGTTCTGTAGTTTAGTTGTAACTTTGATGTGGTTGTGGGAGGAGGTGATACCATGTTTACCTACGCTACCATCTTGACCGGAAGTCAATACTTTGCTATTTCAATAGAGCTTTTCATGGGACAATGTTAGGTAGAATTCATAACTTTTACTACTGAGATATTGGAATATTTTAGGCCTACATGTATAATTCTGATAAAAATAAATGCATTTCTGGGACTTTTCACTCTTCTTGGATCTTGCCAGTTTCCATCACCACTATAACAATTTTAAATTAAGTTTCATTGTGGGCTTGATTTCTCTGATAACAATAAAGTACATTTTAGCTCATATTACACTTAGGTTGTCTGAAGACATTATTCACATCTCTGGGTTTTAGCTAGTTACATCATTCATAAGTTATATATCTTACTGCCTAGAGGAAAAAATTTTTTTTTTATTTTTTCTTTATGGCATGGATTTCTTTTTTGGCCTTAGGAATAGTAACATAACATCTGCATTCAGACTTTGGTGGCTTTGATTGCTAATGTAATGAGTCTAGTTTATAGAAATGGTTACAAAGTATTATACCAAGCAATCAGCTGGATACATGAGAGTCTTAAAAATATGACTCCTTTGTCAAGTAGTAACCAAGAACAGGTTGTGTGAAAAATAGAACTGCTTAGAAAATCTATGTGGAGCCTAGTATTTTCATGGCAATATGATTCGGTAACTTTCTAACACATCATCTATAATTCAAATACTTTCTCATGTTAATTAGTTGACAGTCACAATATCCATACTTTGCCCACAGAGCAATGTCAT